GTCCCGCTCCCTCCGGAGATTTTCCAAATCCTGGGGGGGGGAAAAAAAAATCAGATTTTGAAGGGAAATTCCCCAGATTTTGGGAAGAAAACCTCAGATTTTGAAGGAAAAATCCCCAATTTTGGGGGGGGGGGGAATGCCCAATTTTGAAGAGAACAAATCCCAAATTTTGGGGAGGAATAAATCCCAAATATTGGGGAAAAAATCTTGAATTTTGAGGGAAAAAAATCCTGAAATTTCATTTTAAAAATCCCGACTTTTGGGGAATAAAATCCCAAAATTTGTGGAATAAAATGAGGAATTTTGGGAGGAAAATTCCCGGATTTTTGTGGAGACAATTCCCGGTGTTTTTGTGGAGACAATTGCCGGTGTTTTTGTTGTTCAGACCATTCCCAGTGGTTTTTTGGGATGAGAATTCCCAGGTTTTTTGCTCTGACCATTCCCATTTTTCTCTCTCACCCTCGGGCTCTCTCCCCTCTCCGGGCTCTGCTCCTCCTGCGCCTGCAGCAGCCTGAAAATTCCAAACACTCCTAGAATTCCTGGAATTCCTGAAAACTCCTGAAATTCCAAACATTCCCGAAAGGCACAACAGTCCCAAAATTCCCCAAATCCCTGGATTTTTACCTGAAAACCCCCCAAAAATCCCGGTTTTTTCCATGAAAATTCCCTTTTTTTTTTTTTTTTTTTTTTTTTTTTTTGTTGTTTTTTTTTTTTTTCCCGGAGGCCCCCATTCCCCCCCGGCTTCCCGGGTGCCGGTGTCTCACAGGTGCCGGGCGCGCCGCAGCTCCTGCCGGCTCTCCTGGAACATTTCCCGCCACTGCTGCGCCTCCCCCGCGCTCTGGCCCAGCTCCCGCCGCAGCCGCCGCGCCTCGGCCGCCGCCTCCTCCAGCTGCTGCTCCAGCCCGCGCTTCTCCTGCCACAGACACGCGCGGCTCCCCGCAGTCACCCACACGCGCACCGTCCACGGAACCTCCGCGCGGTTTGTGCCCAATTTTTACCCCGCTCCAGAGGGGTTTCTCCCATTTTTTTCCCAGTTCCAGAGGTCTTTTTCCCAATTTTCCCCCCATATTTTTTCCCATTCTTTTCCCAATTTTTCCCCAATTCCAAAGGGATTTTCCAATTTTTTTTCCTCCACTCCAAAGGAATTTTTCCCTATTTTTTCCCACTTTTTTTTCCAGGTCGGAATTCCACACCCCCATTCCCATCATTCTCGTTATTCCCATTAACCTGTGATCTCTGCTCGGTCTCTGCCCGGCTCCTCTCCAGCTCCCCCCGCAGCCGCTCCAGGTCGGAATTCCAGACCCCATTCCCATCATTCCCAATATTCCCAGAATTCCCATTATTCCCATTAACCTGTGATCTCTGCTCGGTCTCTGCCCGGCTCCTCTCCAGCTCCCCCCGCAGCCGCTCCAGGTCGGAGTCGTGCGCGGCCACCTCGGCCTGCAGCGCCCCCCGCAGGGCGCCCAGCTCCCGCTCCAGGCGGCGCCGCGCCGCCACCGCCGAGTCCAGCTGGGAACGGCACTGCTGGAGTTCCTGGGAAAATCGGGGAAAATGGGAATTGGGAAATGAGGTCATCACCCCATGGCGACATCCAGGTGATCCCAGAGATCCTGGGAAACGGGAAAATTGGGAAAGTACCTGGTAGAGCTCCTGCGTGTCAGGGTCACCTTTGGGGTCCCCTGGGGGCCCGTGGCTCGTGGCCAGCAGCTGCTCCTCCAGCTGGCCCAGCCGCCTCTCCAGCTGCTCCTTGGCCGCTCGGAGCTCGCTCAGCCTGGCCAGGGAAGGGTTAATGGGGAAAAGAACGAAAAGGTTAATGGGGGGAAAGAAGGGGTTAATGGGTTGGTTTGGTTTTTTTTTAATTAAAGGGTTAATGGGCGATTAAAGGGTTAAAAGGGGAATTAACGGGTTAATGGGGGATTTAAAGGGTTAATGGGATTTTTGGGGTGAAATTCAAGGGTTAATTTTTATTTTTTTTTAATTAAAGGGTTAACGGGGGAAAGGAAAGGGTTAAGGGGGGATTTAAAGGGTTAATGGGATTTTTGGGCCCCAAACCCCAAAAGAGAAAAAGGGGAACCCACAGTGACCCCAAATCCCCCCAAAGGGCCACCCCAAAACTGACCCCAAACCCTTTTAGGGTCCCCCCAAACCCTTTTAGGGTCCCCCATTACTGGGCCTGGCTCCGCTGCAGCTCCTGGGATTTCCTGTCCAGGATTTGGGATTGGGACGAGTCCGGAGCCCCCACGGAATTCTGAGAAAATTGGGAATATTTGGGATGGTGGGGACATCCCATCCTGAAATCCCAAATCTGCCCCAAACCCATCCCAAACAAATCCCAAATCTATCCCGAACCCCAAATCCTAAACCCATCCCAAATCCCAAATCTGCCCCAAACCCATCCCAAATTCCAGACTCATCCCAATTCCCAAACCCATCCCAAACCCCAAACCTGGCAATTTCGGGATTCCCAAATTTTGCCCCTCACCAATTCCTGGAGTTTCTGCAGCAGCCTCGAGCTTTTCCTCCTCAGGGAAATCTCGCTCTCAGAGCTCCTGGGATGGGGGAAATTCAGGAATTTTGGAGGAAAATTTGGGAATTTTGGGATCAGGGAAAAAGGAATTGGTGCTGAATTCCCCAAATCCCAAATTTGGGGGAAAAACTTTGGGGAAGATTTGGGAATCTTAGGTTCGGAAAAAACGTGGGGGATTTTTGTGGGGATTTTATGGATTTTTTTTGAGGATTTTTCGGGTCTTAATGGGAATTTTTTTGTGGGATTTTGGTGTCTTTTGAGCTATTTGAGTAGATTTGGGGTTATTTTTTTGTTTTTTTGTGGGTTTGGGGATATTTTGGGGGTTTTTTGGGGCTCACCCCTCCCTGAGGATGCTGTAGATGAGCTCTGTGGGGTTTTCTCCTCCCCCCAATTCCCGCTGGTCCCGCAGCAGGTCCGGGGTGGATTTCAGCTTTTTGGGGGAAAAAAATTCCAAAACAATTTAAATTACAGTTAAAAACCCAAATTCCTCGTCCCCGAGGGGAAAAAAACCCGGATTTATAACAAAAAAACCACAGTTTTATAGGAAAAAATTCTCAATTTTATAGGAAAAAAATCCTCAATTTTAAATGAAAAAATTCTCAATTTTATAGGGAAAAATCCCAATTTTATAGGAAAAGTTTTATATTTAAAAATAACCCTTTTTTAGGGGAAAAAAACCCTCAATTTCTATATTAAAAAAATTAATTAAAAACCCAATTTTTATATATATATATATAAAAAACAATTTAATTACAAACCGCCAATTTTTATATTAAAAAAAATTTAATTGAAAAACCCTTTGCATATATGTATTATATAGATATATTTTTAATATGTATATTTTATATATATATAAAAAACAAAAACCATCAACTTTTATATTAAAAAATAATTTATTTTTAAAAAAAATAATAATTTCTCTCCTTACCTGCATCTCCATGCTCTTCTCCTCCACGCCCCTGAATCCGGCGGGAATTTGGGGTGGAATTTTGGGAATTTCCTGGGGTGGAATTTGGGGGATTCTTTGGGATTCCCGGGAATCCAAACTCTGCGAGCGTTTCCTGGGTGCGGCCGCGGGGCCCCGGAGCCTCCGAGCCGCTCGGCCTCGGGAATTCCCGGAAAAATCCCCAGAATCGAATTTGGAAATGAGGGAATCCACCGAGCCCAGCGGCTCCGTGTCCACGTCCCCCGCGACTTTTCCTGGAATTTTTCCCGGGATTTTTCCGGGAATTTTTTCCCCTTTTTTCCCCCTCAGGTCGCCGTGGGATTGAGATCGCCGGAGCTCGTCCGAGGATTCGGGGAATTCCGGGCCTTGATCCCAAAATTTTGGGATCTCTTGGGATCTCCTCGAATCTTGATCTGAGAATTTTAGGATCCCTCGGGATTTTCCTGCATCCTGATCCCAGGATTTGGGGACTTCCGGGCGTTGATCCCAAGATTTTGGGATCTCTTGGGATCTTCTCAGGTCTTGATCCGGGAATTTTGGGATCCCTCGAGATTTTCCCGGAGTTTCCTCATCCCAGGATTTCGGGATCCCCCTGGACCCTCCTGACTTTTCCTCACGTAAAAATTCGGGATTTTCCTCATCCCAAAATTCCTCTTCCCCCACAGTTTCCCCCTGGTGGCTCCGGGTCGGGACATTTGGGGCAATTTCGGGGGAATCTGGGGCCATTTTGGGGTTCCTGGCTCTGAAATTTGGGGCCATTTCTGGGGTATTTGAGGCCATTTCAGAAGTGAAATTTGGGGCCGTTTTGGTGGGTTTCGCTCTGAAATTTGGGGCCATTTCCCCCATGACATTGGTGCCCATTTCGGGGCTCCTGCCTCTGCCACCGGTGGCCATTTCTGACGGATCCGTGCCCATTTCGGGGTTCCCCGCCCTGATCTGCACCCCGAAGCTCTCGCCCCCTCCTTGGCCACTGTTGAGGACCACGAAGGGCTGCCCGGCGATGCCCTGCACCCTGACGGCCACCCCGTAGGAGCCGCTGCGAGCCCGCGGTGCGGGCGGTGCGCCGCCCTCGGAGCCGATGAAGCGAATCTGCACGCCGTGGTCCACGGGCCTGCCCGCCATGGCCACCGCACCTGCCCAAGGGCAACAGCAGTGGGGAAAGCGGCGTTTGTTACTTCTCCCCCTTCTTTAAACGATTTTCCCCTTTTTCCCCTCATTTTTTTGGTGATTTCCCCCCTTTTTTCCCCCCACATTTTTTTTTGTGATTTCCCCCCCCCCCCGTTTTCCCAAATCCCAAAATCCTTAAATTCCCAAGTCCCAAGTCCCCAAATCCCCAGTTTTTTGGGATCTGGATCCGTCCCCAGTCCCATAAAATCCAGGAAAATCCGGTTTTTTGGGATCTGGATCCGGAGCAGGTGGAGAATCCACAGGGGGGGCTTGGGATTGATCCCAAAAAATCCCAGAATAAATCCCAAATAAAAAATCCCAAAATGGCTCCGGAACCGCCGGGAGTTTTGGGAAATTCCCAAAATCCGGTTCAGGGTTTGGATTTTTCCAGGATTTCGGGGATTTCCCTGGAAAAGCAGAAGGAAAAAAGGAGGGAAATGGGAATTTCAGGGTTAACAATGAAAAAAAAAAAAAAAAAGGAGAAAAATGGGAATTTCAGGGTTAAAAAATGCAGAATTCTGGGAATTTTGGGGCCTGGCCAGGAGCCCGGGAAGCACAAAGAGCTTTTTGTGACTCCAACCCAGAAAAAGTTGTTTTGTAATTCCCAGGGAAAAAAAAAAAAAAAAAAAAAAAAAAAAAAAAAAAAAGCTGCTTTCCCGAGATTTTTTCCCTTTTTCCTG